AGAAAGAAAGAAAGAAAGAAAGAAAGAAAGAAAGAAAGAAAGAAAGAAAAAGCTAAAATTAGCAAAAGAACAAACTACAGGTAGTGGACATAATTAAAATTAGCACCCAGATAGTGAAAGGAGTTTAAAAATATAAAATTAGCAGAAAACAAAGAAGAAAAGCACACAAAAGTGACATTTTTTAAATAAAATAGCTCAAACAGCAGTAATTTGCAGCAGAAATGTAACTTGAATTTGTTGTTACCATAAGGAGCACAAGTTTGCTGAACTAAGCAGAAAGAAGCTGAAATAGCCACCAAATTTTGAATTTAACCTAAAAAACTAATTTAGCTAAAAACAGCTGAAAATTAGCTAAACTTGCATCAAATAGCTGAATATAGCAGAAATCAACTTTAAGAAGCAGAAATGGGTCAAAAGAGCAGAAAAGAACACAAAAAGAAGAAAATAGCAGCGAGAAGAAAATTTATAGTTGAAATAGCAGAAAAAGGCTAAAATGTGTAATAAATAAATGAATAATTTGAAAAATAAACATAGCACAATTAAGTTAAATTAAGAGCAGAACCAGAATAAAAGGTGTACGGTGCTGTAAAGATATAGAAACATTTTGAAGGATTTTAAGGATGTTAAGAACAGCTCCATTCATTTTTTAATGGGACAAACGTGGCCCAAAAAGTAAAACAGCTAAAAAACGTATAATTATGTAACAGGTGGCACCACAAGGTGTTGCATCTTCCTTGGTCTAATGCCTATAAAGAGGAAGCTGGCAGCACTGTGGGGAAGTGAAAAAGAAATACAAAAACTCATGGCTGGAATATCCTGAAGGAGCTGAACATTTTGATAWGTGAATTGTTAAAATAGCACAAAAATTGCAGAATGAGATATGTGCCAAAAAAACGTACAGAAGAAAAAAATAATGTCAATAGTGTGAATACAGTTTGTTCTTAGCCTAGCTGTTAGCTCATCTGTCCAGTCTGACATGTTCTCTTTATACAACACTGTTTAGAGTTGTTCATGTACACAACAATACAAATGGTTTTCTCTGACAAAGTTTTTTGCGTCCTGGTCAGAGTCTCACAACAACATGGTGAAAAGTAGAGTGATGCTTGTGTTGCTCACACTTTTCACTACGTAGGAGCAAAGCAGGCTATTCCTTGGTCATGTAAGTTCATGTATTCACCATTTTGGATGTCACTGTTTTCATGCTTGAGACAGAAGTGTTTTCACATCTCATTGAAATACAAAATTTACAGCAGCTGGCATGGAAAGTACAGCAGATTCAAACGGCACAGAGTTACAAGGTAAAAAGGTAAACATGCTAACAATTCTAGAAGTCGTTCACACGAAAACAGGCCTTTAAACTCTGTTTCTTTAAACTGAGGTTTACCAAAAAAACTATTTGCAACAAGTAAGATATTACTTGTTCTGCAGGGCCCCATTTAAAAATGCTTGGAATATATCTTTGATGCTGTCTGTTTAGTTTCTTTGATAACTTATACCAAATTTCTAAAGGTTTCCCATTGATTGTATTTTTTCTGGATAACTTCAAATGTAAGTTATTGCTGTAACACAGATTTTATTGGATGCTGTGCAGCATTTGGAATGGTTACATCATGTTTAGATAACAGCATTTTTGTGTGTCTTATAATATAATTTTGTAGTCTGCAATTATTTCTGAAAACATAGAAATAATTTCAGATATGGAAATTGTTTAAGTTGTTTGTTTGAGGCTGATTTTTAATGAGAGGCAGATATTTTAAGATTATTTTTCCTCTTTCTGTACCCTTTTCATTCAGTAATTGATTTACTTTTGTAATGGACTTTTTACTGTTTTATGACAGAAATAAATGAATAAAAACATATCTTCAGTTTTTTAATATCAAGGTTACAGTATATTGTAAATTAATAAATCTTTCTGTCAAACTGGTCTTCCATTTTACTTTAAACCTGATTAGAATGAGTAGTTACTGTACAGCTTGATCATGCTGCTCACAAATGATATTGCTCCACAGCCCCAATCTGCATCATCTTGTTCTTCTACCTGCTCTTCACTCGCTTCTGGCTGATCAGCGTTTTGTATGCCATCTGGTGGTACTATGACTATGATACACCTGCACGTGGAGGCCGCAGGGTGCATTTCATGTGTGGCCTCAAAGTTTGGGAGTACATGCGGCAGTACTTCCCAATCAAGGTAAGGAAGAGCTTTAAAACAACTGTTGTGTATGTAAAGACCCTGTATGGTTGGGATTACTGGGTATCTCAGCGTGCCTGGATATTTTTAATCTCTTTTCTTCAGTCCTTTATAATAATAAAAAAGACTCTCTGTCCTCAACAGTAAAAGGACAGTTGATCCTTGACTATTTTATTAATATTCTTGAAATGAACAAAAAACCTCTCAAATGATTGTAAACTATATATA